CAGCTGTTACCTAATACTGTCACAGTCTATGTGACATAGGGCTGAGCACAGGTCCAAAGGCTCAGAATGGTGTGTGTGGGGGGGTCTCCTGGCTTCAATTTGCTTCTGAGCAGGATGATGAGGCTGAGGGATGGAGATGAGATGGGGGTGGAGATGACAGGCAAGGGGTGCAGAGTCCCAGAAAGGAAGTCAAAGGACCTTGGCAGGCAGAGATTGCCTGAAATATTATGGAACACAGCAACATTTATGCACTTTTCCTTTGCAGCCCACTTTGAGGGGCATCTGCTCTCACTTCCCAGTGTGTCAACTGGAGGGCCCAGGCTGCAGGAGGCAGAAACCTCCTCAAGCTGGGCCATCCATCCTCTGCTCTGTGGGCCTTCACAGCAACCTGCAGGCTCCCTGGGGCAAAGGAGGCTCCCCCTGCAGGAGGGTTGTGGGAGAGCGGGAGGCCACTGCCATTCCTAGCAGCAGGAGAAGCTCCACCAGGGCCCCAGAGGGGGGATGCTGACCATCCACTTGACCCATCCCTGCCATGCGCAGTTAAAACCCAGACTCGCCTGGGGCCTACATGCCCCTCTCTTTCCCATTCAATTTCAAATTTGCCTTCATCCAGCTTCAGGACCTCAGTCCCTTTGAGACACTATTGTCCCCTCACTCCTTCCAATAGTCAGGCATACACCGGGGTATTTCCTGAGCACCAGCACCAAGCAGGTGCATTGGGGATCCAGAAAGAGTGAGGGCTCTGAGCTCAGCTGGTGGAGGCGGTCACTGTGAGGGACAGCTCAAGGTTGCAACTGCAGGTGCCCAATGGGTGGGAGAGGCAGGGATTTCTACAGAGCTGGGAGGAGGAGGGTGACTCTAGGGGCTGGTGGGCAGGGAGGCATTTGGGGAAGAGCGCAGAGGTGGTGCAAGACCTTTAAAGATTTGGGGAAGGCACTGGTGAGATGCCAGCAAAGGTCCTCAGTGGGAATGTACCCAAGTGCCTGGAATTCTGAGTTGACCCACACAGGGGGCTGGGGAGGGCTTGGTGGAATCTGTGGCAGGATGGAACTTTAATCCAGGCTAGGCAGGTCTGGACCTCACCAGTGAGCACTGGGGGCTCTCCACCTGAGGGCAAGCCCGCGGAGAAACTTGGTTAAAGTCCTTGGCTCCACGTATGGGATTGGCTTTTGTCCTTTAGAGCCACACTGTCTCATATGGAAGCTACTAACCACTAGTGGCTATTGGGCAATTGAAATGTGGCTAGGCCCAACAGATGTGCTGTAAGAACAAATAACACCAGACTTCAAAGGCTTATGGGAAAAAAAAAAAGAACGTAGGATATCTCAATACTTTCTTATAACAAAAACATGTTAAAGTAATATTTTGGATATATTGAGTTAAGTAACAAAAATTAACTTCACCTATCTCTTTTTATTTTTGAAAGGTGACTACTTAAAAATTTTACTGACCAAAATGGCTCAAGCTATAAATCTATTAGCAGGGCTGGGTGGCGAAGTGAGGGGCAGGGGACCCAGTGCCTGGACTCATCAAAGTCACAATTTGAAAGGCAGAAGGGTCCTGACCTTATTTGGAATACTTATGGAAATTAAGGTTCTAGACAGTTCTGGCACACTTGGAATCAAGCAGAAAGTTTTTCTTTTCATTTCTTTTAGGAAATAAATAGTTTTTTTTTTGTTGTTTTTTTTTTTTTTAACCCAGGGATTGAATCCAGGATGTGAGCCACACCCCCCAGCCCTTTTTTATATTTTATTTAGAGACAAGTTCTCTTGCTAAGTTGCTTAGGGCCTCACTAAGTTGCTGAGGCTGATTTTAAATTCACAATCATCCTGCCTCAGCCTCCTGAGTTGCTGGCATTATACAGGTGTAGTGTGCCACACACCTGGTGGTCTTTTTTTTTTTTTTTTACGTCTATCAATGACATACACATCATTTCCAAACTTCACTAGATCGATATAAGACACATGTAGTAAAACAACTATTGTTGGCCTCTGCCCTCACCTTGGTCAAACTCTGTCTGACCGAGTTTGTCAGTCAAACTCCCTCCAGCTCAGCACTTCCAACCCTTCTTCAGGCATTTACTTCCTGATATATATAAATTACTAAATAAATTTCAAAATAAATGATTAGATGCAATTTGTTGATTTTTTTCAGTTTCTGACACTGTCTATGTTCTTCATATTATGGAACAAGTGTCCTTTTCTGTTCTAGCAGTTTTATTTGTTAATATATAAATGTTGTTTACTGCTGAGCCAAGTGGTGCAGAATAATTGCACTTTCATGTGCAACTTTTTTTTTCCTGGAAGTAATCATTACTCATTGCTTTGTTATTTTTACACATTCTTACCAAATTCTCAATCAATATGTAAAATTCCTTCAAATATTATTTTTATTGTAGCCATAGCCATATTTATTAGCAATCTTATTGTTTTCATTCCCCTCCCCTCTGAATATTTGGAGATACTCACGGCGATGAGGAGCCCCTGCAACAGCTTGGGAATACCCCACCTTTGGGACACAACCCCCTATTTCATTGCTCTTATTTCTTGGTTTGATTCAGTTCATCTTTGAGAAAGGATAATAAGAAGGTTAATTTTTTTTAAAAAATGGCTTTATTCCCACTTTGATTAATGGTTTGGCTGAACAGAGAATTCTAGATTGAAGAACATCCCCCCCCCCTCAGGAGGCAGTCCTTCTGTACTTTTTAAGCTTTTAGTATTGTTTGAAAAATCCCATGCTATTCTGATTTCTGATCTTTTGCATGGGATCTATCTGATTTCTCTCTGGAAGGTGCTAGAAGATTGTCTCTTTGTTCTGTTTGAACATTTCACAATGTGGTGCCTCAGTCCGAGATTCTGGTCCTCATCTCTTTTGCTGGGCACACAGAGGGTTTTTCCTATCTAGAAACACAGACCTTCAGTTCTGGGAAGTAGTTTTTGTAATTCTTTTCATAATTTGCTCTTCAGTGTTTCTTAGGTTCTTTCCCTCTTACTAGTGAAATGTGCAGGGAGGCTTCTGCCCAACCTTTTCTCATTCTGCTTCCTGGGAAATGTCCCCGACTTCATCTCCATCCCTGCTGTTAAACTTCACCTTTCACCTCGTGTATTTATAATTTCTAAGAGCTCTCTGTCTTGTGTTCTCATTGCTCCCTTTAAAAGAGCTTCCTGGATCCAACATCTTATTTCTCAGAGGATATTAATTACAATGTTTTGAAATTTATTTTCCTTCTAGTTCTTGCAATTTTTTTCCTGCTCCTCTGAGTTYTTTTTCTTCTTTTTAAAATTGGTATGATCCCTACCTTATACTTTGTAATCTTCCTGAGACTGGTCACCTTGGGCTGTCTGATCATGTCAAAGAGCTTCCTAAAAGCTCTCCAGAAGTCCTGTGTGTGACAAAGGACTTTTTGACTAATGGGCTTCATTTCCAGTTGGAAACCCAGTTTTTTTTTTTTTAATACTTACTTTTTTAGTTATAGGTGGACACAATATCTTTATTTTCCTTTATGTGGTGCTGAGGATCGAACCCAGTGCCTCAAGCATGCTAAGTGAGTGCTCCACTTCTGAGCCACAACCCCAGCTTAAATCCAGCCATTTTATTGAGGTGCCTCCAACTGGAACTATCTGTCGAGCATTCTGGGACCACTGGTTTTCTTTAGAGAAGCATTCTCCAGTGTCCAGTCCAGGATGTGTGGGTCCACACACCTCATGACAGGGTTTTTGGAACCAAGGGGCAGAAGAAGGTAGAGAGTCTCAAAGTTCCATGGATAGATTTTCACTTAATCCTGTTTTGCACTGTGCTGTACTGGGGACTTTCTGGGAGGGGAAGTCACTGCCCTGCATGGGAAAGGGTATGAGCCCCATGCATAACTGCCCCTTTAGATAGACTTATCATTAGTCTTCCTCTTTTTCATGACTTGCAAAGTAGTCACTGCCTCCAATTCCTGACCCCTCCAGCCTCATGTGGCAAGCCTTGTCCCCTTCTTGTTGATTGCCTCTTTGGTAGATGCTTGGTTTCTGATTTCTCAGTTCTGCTAATTCCTCCATCTGATTTCCATCTTTTAAAAATCTGTTGACAACTCTTGCTTGCTTGATGCCACCCCTCCTGGATCTGTCCTTGTATGTTTATCTTCTTTATTTCTTGGCTCTTATCTTGGCGGGGTTTGGGAAACAGCAGGGATGTACTGAATCTGCTGACTTTCAGTACCAGGTCGACATCTTTACCTCATTTAAAGGTCTCCTCCAATACCCAGATCTAGACTTCTGCCCATGGAGCATTTGTAAGGCTTTCCTGTCATCAAATGCAATTTTCTTTAGAAAAGTACCAGAGTCTAATAAATTAAATGTCACTTGAGCCCAGCTTATACCTGGGTATGTTTGTCTTTAAGGAAATTACATTGCTGTAATAAATTGATAATTATTTAAATAGAGCAATTATTTTCTGTGAGTTCCCCTCCCTCTTTAAAACTGCATGCAAAGCAGCTTCTGGTTGCTTCCTCTGTGGAAATTAGGACTTCCTCTTGGTTGGGTCTTGGCTAGCCAAGGCTTTAGTGAAGTTCAGAGCTTGGCTAGGCTGCCCTACATTTTTTTTCTATGTGACATCTATTTTAAAAAGCTTCAGCCAATGAGATTGCATGGGAAAAGTCTAATTCCAGAAAGCCAAACCGCAGCTAGGGATCTTAAAAACCCTTTAACAAGTGTGTTATTGATAAGTAGGATGCTCACCTATTTATTTAAATACACATTCTTCCCCGCTCCAGCACAACATGCAGAGCCTTTACTTGGTGGCATTAAAGATGACCATTTTGTATAAAGGCGATGGGATTGCTGTGTTCTAAGGGTCTTGAGTTTCACCAGCTCCAGGCTGGCCCCGGTGTTGATCCTTGGGACCCCGTTCTTTTCCTGTGTAGGCGGAGTCAGGAGCATGCGTCTGTCCACCCCCTAGAGGTGGACAAGTCACCTCACCTCTCGGACCCTCTGACTTCTCTGTCTTTGCCTCCCCAGGTGCCCCCTTTCAAAGGTCTCAGCATCCTCACGCTACCTCCTGCCGCCACTTCCATCTCGGCCCTCCGCAGCCACAGCAGCTCGCCCCAGACTTCCCGCTGGCCCACCCCGTGCAGTCGCAGCCGGGCCTCAGCGCCCACATGGCCCCGGCCCACCAGCACAGCGGCGCCCTCCACCAGTCGCTGACCCCGCTGCCCACCCTGCAGTTCCAGGACGTMACAGGTCCCTCCTTCCTACCTCAGGCCCTGCACCAGCAATACCTCCTGCAGCAGCAGCTCCTGGAAGCCCAGCACCGCAGGCTGGTCTCGCACCCCAGGTGGGCTACCTGGAGAGGGGGCGGGGCCAGTGAAAAGGGTAGGGAGAGGGCAGGGCCAAAGGCAAGGACTCTGGCTTCTTCCCGCCAAACTGGGCCTGTAGTCACCAGGAGACGGTGCAGGAGGTAGCTTTTGCTTCAGTTGGTGACATTCATTTCAGGCAGTGGGCACTACTGTGACCCTAGTATGTGTCCCTGTCACATCATCCAGGTGCAGGGTTGGGGGTTGGGTAACTAGCAGTCCATGATGCTCACAGTGGACCTTTTGCCCATGTGGGAGGACCCCTGAGTCTCCCGATCAACCGATTCTAACACCCAAGAACTATAAAGAATACCAAAGGATGTTGGTTCCAGCTCTGCCTTCAAAAGCCATGGTCTAGTCAAAGAGTCCAGTTATATACCATGAAACAGCTGGAGAGGAAATTTAGTCAACACCAATCAAACGGGTCTGAAGTAGCTGTGGGGACCTGGGCAAATCACCTCACCTCTCTGACCCTCAAATTGCTAAGAAAAAGAATTGGATTACCATAATGGTTCTCAAATTTTTGGTTCTCCAAACTGTTTTTACATTCTTAAAAATTAATGACTTTAAAGAACTTGTGTTTATGTAGGTTAGAATGTTGATGCTTCCCATTTTAGAAATTTAAAAATTATTTAGGAACTCATGTAAAAACAACAACAAACTATGTTAAACCAATAAAGTATTTTTATTAAAAATGACTATATATAAATTTAGTGAGAAGAATGAGTTTTTTAAAAATGTATTTGAAAATCTCTTTAATGTTCAGCTTAGTAGAAAACAGTTGTGTCTTTGTGTTTATTTCAGCACTAAATCTTGCAGAAACACATGCACAAAGTTTCTGGGAAACCCCAGTGTTCACCTGTGAGAAAATAAGGATGAAAAGGCAAATAACATCATAGTCTTGTTAGGAATATTGTTTTGAGCTCTTGAACCACTGGAAGGGGTTCGGGGACCCCCAAGGGTGCTGGGGCACTTTGAGAGCCACAGGACTGCATGATCGCTAAAGCCCTAAGCTTCCACGGCCACAGGGTTTGGGGTGCCTGGGACAACAGGTGAGCGTTGAAGGGGTCAGGAAGGAGAGGTCACCATGATCTGGGGTGTTCTGGAAAGCCTTCCTGGTGGAGGCAGGCTTTGACTTGGGCCGTGAACACTGGAAGAGTATGGAGAAGGAAGAAGAGAAGAAGAACATGGTGGGAACAGAGGAGAGGAGGAGACGGCTAACAGGAGAGGGTTCTGTATGTTTGAAGATGGTCCATTAGGGACAGAGCAGGAGCAACAGAAAAGGCTGAGGAGGTGACAGTTTGAGGGGGGCCAGGTGGTCTACTGCAGACACACCTAGAGAGAGATGTCAATTTAGTGGGCAGCCTGGAGACAGCTGGAATGTCAGAGTCACCAACTCCTGAGCCTCTGGGAAGGAGAAGGTGGAGCCCACTGCCCTGTGGGCTGTAGGCTCAGTGGGTGGTTGGAGGAGTGGGGCATCCTCAGGTTGGCCGGGTCACTTAGAGCTCCCGGGAGCTGGGCAGCCCTTGACACCTTGGGACCCCTTTCTTTTCCTGTGTAGGCGGAGTCAGGAGCGTGTGTCCGTCCATCCCCACCGCCTCCACCCCAGCTTCGACTTCGGCCACCAACTGCAGACACCTCAGCCCAGGTATTTGGCTGAGGGCACTGACTGGTGAGTCTCTGGGGTCCCAGGGGAGGGAAGAAGGTGGGTCTTGCCAGGTCCAGGGATTTTTTGTTTTCCTTCACTTTGAATGATGTAGGAAGCCTTGTCCTTAGTCCCCAGCCTTTGCGCCTGTTCCCAGCCACTCTCATGGCCAGATGGCTTCACCTGGGCCTTGTTCCAGCAATTAGCTCAGATGTAACTGGGCACCACCATGTGTCCAGCCTGGGGCCCAGGGTTCATGGTCCTGCAGGGGACGGGGAGTCAGGGATGCAAAACATTTCCCAAGTTCAGAGGAGCTATGAACTAGTGATCCCTGGGAGAAACACAGGAAGAACAATTCCAAGGAGGTGAGGGAGTTGAGGAAGGCTTCCTGGAGGGGGTGGTGGAGGAGTGGGATGGAGATGGTGTTGGAGTGGTGTTGAGGGATGGAGATAGCTGGCCACCTTGGAGGTAAAGGTGGGGAGAAAGCTGAGAGTTTGGGTTTTGTTGAGTCTCAAGGCAGAGGGCGCCTGTGAAGTCTTCCCATCATTTCCTGCACTTGGCACAGAGGCCTTTGTTGTCCTGGGATGTAGGGTTGTTTGGTTTTGGATCCTGGGCCCCACCCAGCTCTCTGTTTCTAGCTCAAAAGAGGGCTCATCTTAACTAGGGTCTGATTAGAACCCTCAAATACTTTTAAAAGATGTGCAGTTTGCTGAGGATTTTGAGGTAAAGAGCATCACGTCTGCAATGTATTTCTAAAGAGTTCAGTTTAAAAAATTGTCTCTCCACAGAGGTGTGTGGGTGTGTATGTATATTAATGTGTTATATATGTGCATATATACGTAATTCTGTATGTATGTGGACATATATTATATATGTATATAACACACACACACACACACACACACATATATATATATATATATATATATATATAGAGAGAGAGAGAGAGAGAGAGAGAGAGAGAGAGAGAGAGAGAGAAAGACACAGAGGGAAATAAAAATACAGTAAAGTAGTAAGATGGTAACATTTGAAGAATCTGGGTTGAGGGTATTCAGGAATTCTTTGTTTTTCTTGCAACTGTTAGGTGAAAAATGTATTTTAAAACCAGTAAAAATAAAAATAATCCCTTAATGGAAAGAATGGACTCTTTTTAAAATGGATGTGCCATTGTGTCATTTTCTAGCCATCTGGTCAGGCAACTGGCTTAGTTAAGGGTGGCTTTGGGAGTCCCTTCCATGACACCTAGGAATGATTCAAAAGGGCAGTTCTGATTGGTTGAATGCCAGGGGCACTTCTGAGTGCAGTGAAGAGTTGGTTCAGCACGTTCTGTCGTCCCCAGTCCTCTGCTTATTCTCAGGTACACTCTCTGCTAAATTGAACAATCCCTTAAAAGATAGATTACATTGCTGCCAACCTTAACCCAGCCTTTTTCTAATTAGCAGATTCAAATTAGGAAGATTTAATTGCGGTTTGAATTAAATTCCGTCCCTCAGCAGTGAAGTCAATTCAATTTGATTCCATTCAGCACACATGGAGCTCCTTTGCATACGGCTGAGTAATTTGAATACACACACGGGGTCCAATGAAGCATGTGAGATTGGACAGGTGATAGGAAGGGATTGTCCTGGTCAAATGTCAGGAGGAACAGTGCAGGTGTTAGCTTGTCCCCTGGCTTACTTTCTTGAGCCAAATTTTCTCTTCCTTCTTGGCCCCTGCTGTCCAAAGAAACAAAGCTGGTCCATGTCTCAGAGTTCTACCTGGGTCTATCCCTGAGCCCCCTCTGCCTATCCAGCCCTCACTTCCCAGGTAGAAAGCTGTTTCCAGTGCAGCAGGGGCAGTTTCTCCTCCCTTATAATGAGCTCTGCTCCAGCAAGGGCTGGCCTAGCAGTGCTCAGGGATGTTTTGTAATTGTGATCATGCTAACTGCATCCCAACCCTCTTTCCCAGAGAGGCCTCTTCTGCCAGGAGATGGGAGCCTGGTAATTGGATTACAGGAAATGCATTGTAGGAGGGGCTACTCTCACCCTCTGCAAGGAGCCTCTGGGGGACGGGGTAGTATGTCTGCAGCAGCCCCCTCCCCCTTTTCTTTACAGAACTATCAAAAAACATTGAATTCTGCCCTAGGTCATTTGGGAATTCTGCAGCAGGCCTTGTCTAGCCCCAGGTTTAAGGCTGCCCCAGACTTTTGCCCTTATTTGGAATATCTTTGCTTTCCTGGAGCAGCTTCTTCAGCTGGGCATCTTGGCCTGAGCTCTGGTGGGAGCAGCAGCTCTTTGGAGATGAATCTCAAAAATTCCCCATCTCTTTGCCTTGTCCAATAACCTGACCCTGACCTTGAACCACAGCCCCGTTTCCCCAGTGTCCCCATCCTAGTCACTCTCCTTCTCTCAGTCCTGGCTTCTCAATCCCAACTCTGACCTTGCAACTCATAGACCAAAGTCTGCTCCTCATGGTCCTAGCCCTGTCTAGGCAGAGGTCTACAGGGACATGGGACCTGTGAGCAGAGGGTGGGAGGAGCATGAGAGCCTCCCTTGCCCATAGGCAGCCCTGACTTAGCTAAGTCTCCAGAGCTCTTGTAGCCTGAAGTCACCCACAGATGGTGCTGGCATTTTGAAGTCCAGCTTCCTGAAGAGAACCCGAGGGTCTGCATAGCAACCAGGGCATGCCATGTTTTAAGAAAATTGACAGAGAAAACTAAGATTGAGCTGTTTGTTTAGACACAAATGAAAAACAAATGCATGGAGACCAAGTCCACATACACACAAAAAATCTCTAAAACGTGGTTCTGGGTTAACTCTGTGACTTTAGGCGCATGGGATATTCCTAGGACACCCGCAACCAAAAAACAGCCAATCAACCAACCAACTAAACAAAAGTCAAGAACCTCAGTTAACAGTTTCTTATTGGCTGTGGCAACAGCAGAAAATGAGAAGCCCTGCTTCTTTAGGAACTGATACCTCCTAGGACAAGTTCCCATCTAGACTGCTTAAGGGCTGGGGAAACTGTGCCCAGCTGACCAAGCCCTTGTCCAGGAATGTCTTTTCTAATGGCTCTATTGTTCTTTTCTTCTTATTTGTATCTTCTTAAGGTGGAATCTGAAGTAATGATTTGGCTCTTTCTTCTTTTCTAATATAAGCATATAAAGCTATGAATTTTTCTTTAAGGACTAGGAATTTCCTAATATCTAGGATGATTTATTTTTTTGACAAATCTTTATAGACAGCATATAGTTAGCTACTGTTTTCCAGTTGACAATCTCTGTTAAGGGGAATGTTTACATTTAATAAAATTACCTTTGTGGTTGGGATTAAATACACCATCTTACTCTTCGTTTTCTATTTGCCCATTTTAAAATTATTATTTCCTACTCCATGTCTTYTCTTTCATTGGTTGAGTATTTTTAGGGTTAAATATTGGCCTCATAGTCATATCATTTTATTTTGTTATTATATTTTGTGAACATACTTGGCTTACAATATGCATATTTAGTTTTTTACTTTATCTAAAATAGAATTATACTGTTTTGTATCTACTATAAAACTCTTACAACAGTATACTTTCATTATCCCTTTCCCATCCGTGTTATTCCTTTTGTAGATTTTATCCATACATATGTTATAACCCCTATAATACATTGCTAGGATTTTTGCTTTAAACCAGGAGTTCAGCAAACTCTGACTTGAAGGTCCAGTCTGGCCCACACCTTGTTTTGTTTTGTAAATAAAGTTTTATTGGAACACAGTTACACCTATTTGTTTACATGCATTTTTGTGGCTGCTTTTGAACGACAATACACATTTGGAGTARTTGTGGCAGAGAAAGTAATGTCCTTGAACCCTAAAATACTGTCTCTAATCCTTTACAAAAAAAAAATTGCCTATTTTTGCTCTTCAAAGAAAAGTTTTTAAATGGAGAAAAATCCCCCACACAATTGTCATCTCTGACATTCTTTATTCCTTTGTATAGATTTACGTTTCTATCTGGTATTGTTTTTCTTCTGTCCATAGATCCTTCTTGAATATTTCTAGTGCAGGTCTACCGGTAGGGCGTTCTCTCAAATTCTGTTTGTCTGAAAATGTCTTATTTCACCTTCATTTTGAAGGATGTTTTTTGCTGGGTTTTCTAGGTTTGTTTGTTTGTTTTCTTTCAGGAGATTACAGATGTTATTTCATTGTCTTCTGGCTTTGTTTGTTTCTAGTTTATGATAATGAAAAGTTTATGATAATTCTTATCCACTTTCTTCTGTGTCTAATAGGTCTTTTTCCTTGGGTTGGTTTATTTATTTATATATTTGAGATAGGGCCTTACTCTGTTGCCCAGCATGGTCTTGAACTCCTAGGCTCAAGCTTCCCAAGTGGCTCACCACTTGGTCTGGCTCCGGTTTAAATTTTTTATCTTCACTAATGTTTTCTAGGAATTTGATTATTATGTGCCTTAAGGTGATTTTGTTTGTGTTATTCTGCTCAAAGTCTAYTGAACTCTTTGAATCTATGAATTCATCAGATTTGGAATTTTTCAGTCAGTTTTTCTCTAAAATACATTTTTAAAAATCCTTTACCTTCCATCTTCTCCCTTTGAATTTTACCAACCACTGAGTATTGTCACTGAGAGTGTTAATGTTTCAGTCTTTTTTTTTTTTTTTTTTTTGCTTGTGTGCTTTGTTTGAGAATATTTTTATCACTGTCTCTAAGTCACTAATCTTTTGTTCTATGGTATCTAACCTGCTGTTAATGCAACCCAGGGAATTTTCTATTTCAAATGTTGCATTTTTTGTCTTTGGACGTTCTATTTAGGTCATTTCCCTCCACATTCCATTTTTCTCTTCCCTGTGTGTATGTTTTCATTTACAATTTAAATATGATTAGAATAGCTATTTGAGAATCTTTGTTTGCTGTGTCACCATCTTTGTCATTTCTGTGTCTTGGAGGTGTTTCTGTGGCTTCATTTTTTCATCTGATTATGAGACATGTTATTCTCATTTTCAGCATGTCCAATAATTTTCTATTGAATGATGGACATGATGAATTATACATTGTTGAGTTACTGGATTTGTTTTCTTCATTTGGAGAGTGTTGGACTTTGTTCTGGTGAGCAATACTTGCAGTTCATTTTGATCTTTTGGATGCTTGATAAGTCTTATTACAGGAGCTCTAGAATATGCCTAGATCAGAGAGTTCTCAAGACTTTCCCTAAAAAAGCTTATCCACAAGTTTCAAAGGCCATCTGGGTCTCCATTGTATGCCCTGAGTGATTCACAGGACTCTGTGCTGATGTGTTAGGACTTGAATGCTTCCCAACCCTGTTGAACTCCTGGGAAGTATTCCTTATTTCTTTTTGTTCCATGTGCGCTCTTTGTTCAACCTGATGGGGGTCTGTGCCACATGTACATTATCTTAGTATTCAACAAGGACTCAAATAAAGACTCTCTGTAGCTTTCTGGAGCTCCTCCTCTCCAAAACACTCTCCCTGAAATAGGATCTCTGATCCTCAACTCATGGAGACCACCATGCTCTGCTTAGGGTTCCCTTCCCTTCTCACTGTCTAGAGGCACCTTCATGTGAAAAGGTAGGGAGGTGGCAGGGCTCACCTTGTTTTCCTTCTTCCGGGGATCACTGCTCTGCGCTGTATGTTGCAAGTGTCTGAAAACAGATTGCATATATCCTGTCTGGTTTTCTAGTGGTTTACAATAGGAGGGTGCATCTGATTCCTGCTACCCTCACCTATGGCTGGAAACAGAAATTTCTTTAATGACTGTCTTTCTCTCTCTCTCTGTCTGTCTGTCTAGATAGATAGATAGATAGATAGAYAGATAGACAGATAGAGATATTTAATGCTTTCATTGGAGAAAACAGGCTGTTCTTCCTGGAGAGTTTCCCCTTCTCTGGATTTTGCTGGTACTCTCTAGAGGTGTCACTTAAGATGTCCCCCAGTTTCCTATAGCCCCTATACATGGGAACCTAGGTCAAGGCTTCGGCAGATACGTGTTTGACTCTTATTTCTTAGCGATACTTTGCGGGGAGGTAGTGTGGTCTTTCCGCCAGAAGGCACCTGTCTCTTCTTTTGTGATGTTAGCAGTAATTGAAGATCTTTGCCTGGATCTTTTGTTTCTTCAGGGGTGGAAAATGGTGGCAAATAATTCAATCATTCCTTATTCATTTATTTGCTGGGAAACTTTTATTAAGGGAAATTTTCCCTCCTCAACTATTCGATTACCCTGAAGTACACTTATTAAGGGGAAAACAAGATAAATGTTTGGTTCTTCCTTTTATTTACTAGTTTCCTAAGTGACGAGTTGGTTCCTTAGCATCCTTCAAAGAGTATCAGTTTTCTTCAGCATCATTTAGTCCTATGGATTCAAATCTGTTTGGGGGTCTTCCATACCTTTTACAATTATAATTTTTTTGTTGCTGTTGTTGTTGTTTTTCTTTTGGGGTACCAGGGAGTGAACTCAGGGCACTCGACCACTGAGTCACATCCCCTGCCCTGTTTTGTATTTTGTTTAGAGACAGGGTCTCACTGAATTGCTTCTCGCCTTGCTTTTGCTGAGGCTGGCTTTGAACCTGCGATCCTCCTGTGTCAGTCTCAGCTTACAGGCCTGTGCTACTGGCTCAGCTATAGGTATTGATATGTAAATGATCCTGACTTGGGGCCCCTGGGAGCTTCTTCTGGATGATTCATGAATCCTTTTGCCACGACCCTGGTGCYTTTTGATAGCTTTCTTGCCTTCAGTTATGACAAAAATGTTTTTGTCTCATTTTACATATTTTCTCCATAGACTTGAAATAAAACATAATTCAAATTAGACATTAGTTCCTCTTGAGTGTAAGTAATTAACCATGTTTAAGTGAAATGAGTTTCCTGTGCTTTTAGGGAGCAGAAGGCAATGGGCTAGGATAGCTTTTCTGACTGCAGAGCGAGCTRTAGAGATTCCTCTTTCGTTGTTTTCTCAAAGTGGTAAAAATACGGCTGGCGGCTGTCCTTGCCTCCCCTGGACCTTGTCCTTTCTTTGCTGTGTATTCCTGACACTCTCTGCATTTGGATTTTTCTTTCAATATTTCTCTTAGGGAAGAGTTTAGTGAGGGGTAGGAGGATGGGGACCTCATTTCAAGGTTTACAGGGCCTGGGCTGCTCCAGACCCCTCAGGACTGGCAGATCCCCTGGACCTAGTTTCTCCTTCTAAAGAGGGGAGGAGAGCTGGGTGATGGGGAGCTCTGAGCCACCCTGGTCGAGTGCTACTTGGTTTGATGACCCTCATGGAACCTGACRGTGCCTCACCCACCCCGTGCTGACCGAGGCTGTGTCCCCGTAGGGATCTCAGTGTGGACGCTGGCTTGAGTCCTGCTCAGTTCCAGGTGCGGCCCCTCCCGCAGCACTATCAGCATTACCTAGCCACTCCGCGAATGCACCACTTTCCCAGGAACTCCTCCTCCACGCAGATGGTGAGTGCAAGGTCCCGTGGAAATGAACTCTCTTGCTGCCCCCTGGGTGCCGCTGCTGGGCTGAGGCCCGCAGCTCTCCGTGTCCCTGCTTCCTGGTGCCCTGGTGGTCTGCAGGGGAACACCTGGGGCCACAAGCAAGGACGGATTCTGACCCTCATAGGACCTCATTTAATTTCTTGTGGCCCTATCTCCCTGGGTTTGGTTTTTACCTGTCTGTGAAATGGGAATGTGGGTGCCTGCCCTGCCCTGTCTCCCAGGGCTGGCATGAGGCTCAAGACAGATCCTGGAGGAAGCCCTCAGCCTGGCTTGCTGGTCCAGCTCTGCCTTCCTCCTTAGGCTGGCCTTCTTGTGACTGCAGAGTACTAAACGCTGCAGAGGGTCAGGTTGGGTCTGGGGTTGCAGACTGCAGGGAATGAAAGTAAAGACACCCCACCGAGCAGCAAGACTGATGGAACCCCGTTTCCAGACAGCTCCACATTGCTTCTTCCCACCCCTGCCTCTGTCACTGAACCACCTAGCTGAACCAAGATGAATAGTCTCTAAAGTCCGTGGCAACTCTGGGATTCCATGGCTTGTATGGTGTGTCTTGTRAAGATTTCATTGTGAGCCATGAAATGGGTGGCCAGTCTGGGTGAGTTGTCACTTTATTGATTGAGCTGGTCTGGGCCCAGATTTGCAACTTGATGAGGTGAGAGAGAYACAAAAGCAGGAGGGACAGCCCTGCCACCAGCTCATGGCATCTCAGGGCTGTGCTGGCCATCAGGATTGGGATGGGCTCATGGAGAAGCTGGAATACTTTGCTCTGACTTAGCCATTTTGTCCCCCTACAGGTCGTCCATGAAATCCGAAACTATCCTTACCCCCAGCTTCACTTCCTCGCACTCCAGGGGCTAAATCCCAGCAGACACACTTCTGCCGTGCGGGAGAGCTATGAGGTTAGTCGCTGCGTCTGGTGCCAACTACCATTGATGCCCTTACCATCCATCGTCCCCTTACCATCCATCCTCCTGGTGGTAGGTAGGTCATGGATGGAGGAGGCCCCAGGAGAGAGCAAGGAGAGATACTGCAGCCTTCAGCACCAGACAAGTACTTCTCGATGGCTCTGTGAACACTTCCCACTAACATCTTCCGGTGCCTCTTCCTCATCCTGTGTGGGTCTGTGTGTGCTTCTAGGTGCTGAGTCCACCTATCTGTGCTTTCCTCTTTACAGGAGCTGCTGCAGCTGGAGGACAGGTTGGGAAACGTGACCCGGGGAGCTGTGCAGAACACCATTGAGAGGTTCACCTTCCCCCACAAGTACAAGAAGGTGGGGCTGCCAGCAGGCCAGCCTGCGTGGTCCGGGCTGGGAGGGGTTTGCCAGAGGATCCACTCAATGCTGGCCTGGTTGTCCAGTGGGGGTGCAGTTCAAAATCCAGAAGCCCTTGCTTTCGTTAGGCGCTCTGAAGTTTAGGTGTCAGTGCTGAAGACCCTGGATGTTGGCATAAGCATCTTCTCACAGTAGCATCTGGTTTGTTCATGAACAAATTCAACCATATTTATTGAGTGCCTACTATGTGTCAGGCACTGGAAGGTGTATTAATAAGGGATGTGACAGTATTTCAGTGACTAAGGGTCTCATCTCCGTGGAGAAAGCGGTCCTTCTCTGGAGAGAGGACTTTGAATTACTGGAGAAAGTGGAGGAGAATGAGTGGCATTTGGGGAGCCCAAGCAGTGTGTGTTCCTGGCACGGGGTGTTCATTTTTGCCAGGGTGACATACCTCACCTGCTATCATTTTAACAGAGCACAAGGAAAGAGTGAAAGAATAGCAGAGAATGAAAAGAGAAAAGGGATTGAATCAGTGAGACAGAGGTTCAGGTAAAATTATGGGAGACAGTAAATTAATCAGGACAAGAAAGGGAGAATCAAAAGAATAAAAATGTTATTAAAAAAAGTAAGAAGAAGTAAAAAAGAGAAATAACAAAGTTTAGGATCCAAATAAAATGCCAAAATAAACAAACAAAAAACACTTTTAGAAACTCAGATTCAGAGTAAAATAATATAAAACAGTATATTTTAAAATAGTAATAATGTGAGAACAAAAAATATAGAAAACATAAACAATCATGAGAGAAAAATATGGAAGGAATGGGAACTAGGAAAAGACATAAAACCAATGTGTAGAATTAAAAATAGAGAACATCAGAATTAAAAGGAAATGTTAATAAAAGGAAAGGGTAAGGGTGAAAAGGATTAAATAAACACTGAAATAAATAAATGCTGAAAAAAGTTAAAGGTGAAAGTTAGGTAGAGAGTCTGGCACAGTGACACATGACTGAGATCCCAGCAACTCAGGAGGCTGCAGCAAGAGGATCTCAAGTTGGAGGCCAGCCTCAGCAACTTAGRGAGAGCCTAAGGAACTTAGCAAGATCCTGTCTCAAAATAAAACAGTGGTGAGACACCCTGGGTTCACTCTCTCCCCTCCTCTCCCCAAAATGTTATGTACATAATAAAGAGCAAACAAAAACCAGAATACCACCCCCCCCCCCGCAAAAAAAAAAAAGATTAAGAATAGGAAATAAGATTGGAAAGGGAAGACTAGTCTAAAGAAGTAAAGATTAGCCACAGCAGGGCCTGGGGATGTGGCTCAAGCGGTAGCKCGCTCGCCTGGCATGCRTGCGGCCCGGGTTCGATCCTCAGCACCACATACCAACAAAGATGTTGTGTCCGCCGAGAACTGAAAAATAAATATTAAAAAATTCTCTCTCTCCCTCTCTCTCTAAAAAAAAATAATCTTAAAAAAAAAGATTAACCACAGCAAATCAGAGTAATATTTAAGGTAAAATTAATACTTAATTTAATAATCTATTAAACTATAAAAAGGGAATCATGAAAATCCACAGAGAACAGCAGAAAATAAGCATGTAATAATAATAATAATAATATTAAGGCTTCGTAGCATGGTTTTTTGACATCTCTAGATGTCCAAAAGACATGGGTCCTGCAAACAGCTGGACCCATAAGCAGATCATCATGATTCTATTCATATTCAAGTTCCACACAAATGTATGCTACAATGGCTGTAATTCTGACGAGGGGAAACCTACCTTGGAAGCCCAGCCTGGTTTGCAGGGGCTGTATAGAAGACAAAGAGGCTGAAAGCAGAAGCAATAGAGTTTCTCATGTATCCCAGCAAAGGCACAGGATTTCCCAGACTAAATTAAAATGAGGAGCTCCAGAACTTAGGACCATGGACTGGAATAGGGGGACCTGACATTTAGGCTTGGCCCCAAGGTCCTTTTCTGGATGGTCTTTGTCTTAGGACTCCAGATTTTTATTTTTATAAAATGTCCTTTAAGTGTGCTTATCGTTTTCTTCCTATGGTTATCATCAGACTATTTCACATTAGAGCAAAGAGATGGGAACGTGGAAGGTGGGCTGATTCCATTCACTAGATTCCCTCTTCCCCCAAATATTGATTAAGAGCAATGCTATGCCTTGAACTTGGTTAAATGAAGGTGGATATATAAAAAAGGGTAAGCTGTTGTCCACACCATCTGAGAATTTGGAACTTTCTAAAGAGTGAAAAACTGTTTTCAAATAATTAGTGAAGAATTGAAAATAGGAATATTAAAGTCAACAAGTATGCATAGCGTGCCTGCATGATGTCAAATCTTGTCTTAAAGCTAGTGCCTTCTCTAAGGGAACATTCTGGATGGGAAGAKAAATCAATAACACAAAATAGCTGGTAACAGTGTGGTACTAATTACAGGAGTTAATCCTGGGGGTGGCATCTTATCCTCGTCTGTAACGAGAGCAGACCTGAAGGGACGATGGTAAAGAATGACTGAGCGCAGGAATGAATCACGCTGAACCCGAAGGTAGAGGGGAAGCCCGGAGGCAGGATTCCACACTGGACAAGGTGTGAGAAGTGGATAGTAACAGCAGAACAGAGTCAGGAAGCTGCTAGGCAGGAGCTGTACCTTTGCAAAGGGTCAATTCATTAGGAACCTGATCCCTTTCCCAACCTGGGCTCCTTGATAGTGCCTGGGAGGGTGAAGTCCACTTGGCCTCTTCCTCACGTGGCTCGCACCCTCTCTCTCTATTGCAGCACGTGGGAGGAGATAGGGAAGAAAACTTAAAAAGAGACTKACCCCCCAGGAAGAGGGGGCTGCAAGGGGGAGGAGGCTGTGGGTAAAGGCCAACGGCCACCAGGTGAGTCGGCCCCAGGTAACAGATGCTCCTCTCTTTGCTTGTCATAGAGAAGACCCCAGGATGGCAAGGGCAAGAAGGATGAGGGCGAGGAGTCCGACACAGATGAGAAATGCACAATTTGTCTGTCTATGCTGGAAGATGGAGAAGACGTGAGGTAGGAGGCCCCTTTGATTCTCTCTCCCTCCTGTCACAGGCATTGGTGAGCGGCCACCACGCTGTGTCTGGGGTGAGGGTGCTTCTTTGCAGGTGCATGTGAGTGTGCCAGGTGTGCTCTAGTGTGCTTCGGAACTGCACTGGGAGGGTGGGGCATGGAATGTTCTAGATGTGTTGACAGAGGGTGAKGATGCATGGAGGGAAAGTGTAGGAGAACGGTGCCACGTTTGGCCTGGGGATGGTCTGGGGCCACATCGTGGCTTTGCTTTGGGCTTCATGGAGGAGGGCCTGAGGCTCCCTTCCTGTCACGGCTTCCTAACTTAGCCACAGCCCCACTCTGGGGCAGGGCTCCTGCAAGGCTCCCCCTTTGGCAATTACCTAGTGGTCCTGGGCGTGTCTCCAGGTCCCCTCAACATCCCTCACATCACCTCCTGCTGCAGCTGTTCCCCTCACCCCCACACTGGTCACCTGGCTTTCCTCCTCTCTTCCAGACGCCTACCCTGTATGCATCTCTTCCACCAACTCTGCGTGGACCAGTGGCTCGCCATGAGCAAGAAATGCCCCATCTGCCGAGTGGACATTGAGACACAACTGGGAGCTGACAGCTGAGGGAGGAGTTAGCCAGTGGACGCCCCATTTCCTTCACCAGGTCCCCCCACGGCCATAGCCCTTGCAGCCAAACTTTGCCTTCTGAGCCATTTGACGTAGAGGAGAAGCCTGCAAGCACATTTCGTGGAAAGAGGAGTTGGTGGTATCCGAGTCCGAGGGAGAGGAGGGGGTGGGGGAGGACCCACCCATCCAGAGTGGCCACTGCCCCCATCCGCCTTGCTGCGCAGGAGGGAGGGAGCTGGCCGTGCCCAGAGCAGGGCGGGAGTGGGGGGCCCACGCTGTGGAGAACCCAGATGTGATCCGAGGGTACTAGCTGATAGACCGGCCCCTCAATCCTGTCCTTCGAAGGATTGTACATATACCTCTCGACCACGTAGAAACCATGTAGGGGTCTCTAGCTATTTCTGTGGATGGCAGCCGGAGCATGTTAGCTTAAGAAAAATGTCGTGTGTGGTGCTCTAGTCATCTTGTGGTGGACATGTCGCTATTGCCCAACTTGCACCAAATGTTTCTCATTGAGTTTCTTGTTTTGGTGCCTGACTGAACCAACCAACGACAGCCCCAATCTTCCCGTCTTTATGAGAGAAAGGAAAAAGGAATCAAAGGTGAAAAGAAAAAAAAAAAAGAAAGAAAGAAAAAAAAGCCAAATCCTGTTTACGGTGGAAAAGGATGACTTTTTTTTTTCACCCAGTTGGGAGGTGGGAGGGGGGTTCTCGTTCTGTTGTTTTTGTTTTCTCCTTGGCTTTTGATTTTCTCATGTTTACAGTGCACGGAGTGTGGAAGGGGCATCCGGGCAGGGGAGGACTGGACAAAGAGCAGATGGGGGTCTTCGAGGGGTTTCCCAGGGGTTCAGGCCAGATGAGGAAGGTAGAGCCCAGCAGGGGAAGGGGGTGAGTCTGTCCTGAGGGAGGGCTTCCAGTTCTAGGGCTCACCTCTTAGCCTGGCCATCCCTGCCCTCCCGGCATGCCACACTGAACCAGCGTGGACTTGACCTCCAGTTACGGCGGCCTCAGTGTTTCCCGGGACAGGGGGCCCCTGCTCACTCCAGCTTCTTTCTTTAGATTAGGCTCTTGTCCTGTCACAAAGAGGCAATGTAGCCACTGCCTCCCTATGCAAAAAATTAACCAGATGATGCAGATCAAATAGCATAGGCAATGGACACTTGACCTTGGCCAAAACGCTCCCAGCTAGCATAGCACCCAGAGCTAAGGTCAAGCACCGTGGACCTGAGGAGGAACTTGAGCTTTCTTTGGGATGTTTCAAGTCCTGATCTCTTCCTCAGAGATGGCCCTGGCTCTGAGACCACTTTGGCTGGGTGTGGGAGGTCCTATGTCCCTAACCTCTGGCTCCTTCTCTGAATCTTAGATAACCGTGGGCAAGCCCCTTTCTTCCTCTGTGCCTCAGTTTCCTTCTCCTTCCAGTGGGGAGAAACAACAGTGTATCCCCTTTCCACTCCCTCTACCTCACCTAGATGTCCTGAGGATTAATATCTCTGTCCACCATCTTCTGCATTCTCTTTTCTCTCCTGGGAACTTCTTAGGGTTTGGGGTTGGGGGTGCCAGAAGAGACAGATCTGGAAGCTCCAAGTGACCTCCCAGTGGTCTTTGTGCATCATCCCACAATTTTTCTGACCCCTCCCAAAGGAACAGAGAGATAGGAGGATAGAAGACTAGAGATGGGGAAATCCATCAAATTCCAACCCAACCCCAACTCTCTATCCATATGTGGAAAACACCAGATCTGTTGGAATTCTGTGACTTTCCTCTGCCCCTCCTCCTCCTCCTTCCCCGCCCCTCCCCCTTCTCCTCATTTGCACTGCTTTCAAAGCCTCCCTCACCTCAACCCCTAGCCCAGTCTCAATGCCCTCATATTAAAAAGACTAAGGGACAGGACACTCGTCACATAAATGAAGAAATTCCATGCAGTTAAGGATATTTGAATCTATGTTGCTGCTGTCAGGGGTAACTGGACCAGTGGGTGACAATGACAGGGAGACTGATTTTAGCTTGAGGTAGAACCTTCTAACACCATTGCACCACCTGGAGCAAAGGCTACTCTGGACACCCCGGGACAGAGTTGGGGAAGCAGCTCCCTAGGGATGTCACTCCAGAATCTTATCCAGACAAAGGTCTCTCCCAGCACCAATCTTCTGGTGTCCCATACAATCTCTGTTGAGTGCCTACCGGTGCAGGTGCTGGGAAAGATGAGAGCTAAGAAGACAACGTCCCTGCCTGAAGGAGCTTACAGTCGAAGACCAGACAGGACACGTCCAATAGTGCAAGAAACAGTGAAGAGTTCAAGATTCAGGGTCAGCAGTGATGGGCACTGGGTCATCCGGGGCAGTGATTGCAGTGTGTGAAGTGTCTCCAGGACAAGGCTGGACATCCCACTGGTGGGGAAGGACACTGGAGATACTGCTTACTCATAGCCACAGGGAGTTGGGAATTTTCTCCCCTCCTCCCCAATGCCTGGGTCAAAACCAAGAATTCATCAGAAGGCGGCTCTGGAATGGAGATCACCAGGGTGGACTGGGTAGGGTAGGCGAGTCCTCTCCTGGGTCAGTCTTTTCTTCTTTCCCTGAGGCTGATCTGGAAGGCCAGCAGGGGAAGGGAGTCTGTGGGGGAACTGGGGTTGAAGTAGAGCTCATATTCCAGGTTCTAGTCCTGGCTCCTCACTGATAAACTGGTTGATGCTGGAACCCTCCTCCTGTGTCTCTCTGCACCTGTTTCCCCAGTTATGACACAGGAGAGTTGGAGTGGATGCTTGCTAGAATTTCTCCCAACACTCACATTCTATGATCCCCCAACATCAACACATCATTCAAGTCAGAGCTGTGTGCTGACCGGGCCATTGAAAAGGACTTCTGCAGGCATGAACATTCTTTTCAGAGGCTGAGGGTACACACGTTGAGTAAGAGACTGGGACCTGGTCCCCTCCTCCCTCCTATTCTCTGCAGGCTCTCCAAGCGCCCCAGGCTACAGGGACTGGGCTGGGGAGGGAGTCGATCCTGAAGCTCCCTCCCCTCCCTGTCTCTCTGGGATCCTTGTATCCTGCAGGTAGGGACAGGAGAGAGGGGACAGCCACTCTGACCCTCCTGGCTCCTGTTTCCTTAGCAGAGAAGCCAATTGGGTGAGAAGAGCAGGTGCCAGCTTCTGCTCCCTTGAGCGCCCCCCCAATCCCAGCTGGCCCGGGAGCCTGGGAAGAGCGGAGAGGAGGCAGGTTCAGGCCTCAGCATCTCACACCCACCACCTCCAGGAGGGAGACACCTATAGTCCTCCTGCTCAACTCAAGGGACTCAGACCCTTTCCTGACTGAGACGCATGAGTGCCTTCTGGGGCAAGAGCAGCCCCAGGGTTCAAGTTGGGCCTCCAAACCGCAGCCATGGCTGCAGCGGGTCCACCGAGGACACTAATCAATCAACCCAACGCCACGAGCCGCTGGGCGCAGCAGAGGGTGGGCAGGGGCCACAGTGTCCTCCACCCAGCCAGGACCCCCGGCCCTGTCGCCCTCGCCCACCACCTGTGGCGGGACTCAGGCTCTCTTCTGCAAAGGCTCTCAGCCTCCGAGCAAGTATTCTTAACTCTTTACGCCTAACGAACAAGCACAGTTTTTTCAATGGTGAAGAAAAAGCACCAGATTTTTTTTTCTCCCCCTGAAGAAATCCCCAAGCCCCCCGCCCGCTGGCGGGACCAACACTCCCCGTGTGGGGCTGTAGCAACGTCTGTCAGGTCCCCTCGTGTTTCATCTCCTGCGCGCGTAGAGCAAATGCTAGAGCGATTTCAGCTGATAGAAAAACAAAAATGAAAAAAAATAAAAAAACAAAAAAAAAAACATGGCACGTTGCTAGTTTACAGGGTTTTGTGAGTTTAAATGCCTTATATTTAACAATCATAATTTATGACTAACTTGTAGATATCGTGGGTTCTTATTTAATTATTTTTATAGTTGTTTTGCATTTTTAATTATAATTTATTTATTTAGAAAGGATACTAATTTTTTTTATTACTCCTATTACCTCATTTCGGCGTTGTTTTTGGGAGTGGAATGCTTTGCATGCATTGGTACGATGACAAACAACTACGAATACAAAAAAAAAAAAATTTAAATAAAATTCCGCGAACTTTATTTCGTCCAAACTATCAGGGTGTGTGATTGCAAGCTGTCCTACTGTGGTGCTGGCCTCTTTGGATACATTCCATACGAAATGCAAACCTTTGATTCTGTATGCTGTGACTTAGTGAAAAACTCCAATATAGTGACTGTATTTAGCACATATATAAATATAATTTGCACTCGTCAGCAGACTGGGGTAATCCTTTCACTTGCTACCCTTGGCACCCTCGCCCCGACCCCTTCACCCCTGTAATTAACCTGCTTTTCTTTCTTCCTTCCCGCTTCTTACAGCCTCAGTCCACCCAGGCTTCCACCCCTGAAGGAGGTCTCTGGGCTCTAGAGGTCCCTGTCTTCACTTGGGCTCCACCTTTCTAAGGTTCCAGAATTGGAGCCCTTGGGACATTGCCAGCAGGAGTGTAAGAAAACTGAAAGTCTGACTGATTACAGGAGCCTGGATGGGGGGCCAGGAGGCTTGGGTTTTCAGATCAGCTCCATTGTGGTCTTCCCTGTGACTGTGAGCCAGTCCTTGACCTCCCCGAGTCAGTTTTTCTGTGCTAGGGAAGGGAGGTGAAAGGGGGGGCATCTCTAGGATGCCTCTGATTCAGATAGAATATGATGCAGATCTGGGGATGGGGGACCTATCTCGCCCTCTCAGGAAAAAAGGAAAAGAGAAAGATGGAGGGAAGGAAAGGAAAGAAAAGGAGAAGAGAGGGAACGGATGGAGGATTTAGCCCGTAGATTTGCCCAGAGCAGAGGTCCACAAAGGTTTCTGTCCTTTTAAGTGCAACATCCGGAGGGCGACAGGGAGGTAAATTAGGTGGACACATTCCTGGATATGGGACCTGGCCTTTCACGAAGTTTAGCAGGTCATTGGGAGAGTAAGCTAAAGTCCATGCCCTGTTAGGTTTAGGGATGTGATAGGTAGAAGTCCCAGACTCTGGTGTTGGGGGTTGGCACTCCTGTCCTGAAATCTCTAGGAGCCTTTGTGACTGGGACATCACTCACCAACAACTGCCTGGGACACAGTTTGGACTGTGGTCTCTCCTCCCAGTATCTCCCCTGGRCCTGCCCCTGGACCATGGGTGTGGGCAGGAGGCTGCTATGGAGGATAAGGGGTGGGACTCTAGGGTCACTGCCCCAGAGAGAAGGGATGGGAGGGAGGCCTGGGGAAACAATGGCATCAACAGCTGGCACAGTGCTGAGCCCAGGTGTCTTTGAGCCAAAAGGGGAGAGGAGGCCCAGGCCCCMGGGAGCAGCCTTTGAGTGGGCTGGCACCTGCCCCACGCCCTTCCTCTCTCTCTCTCGTCCTCCTCTTCCTTTCCAGCTTGCCTTCCCTCTTGGCTCTTGCCATCACTGCCTTTGCCTGGTGGGGACTCCACCCTCCACAAGAGGCCCCATGGGGATGGACGGTGCTGACATCGGGGAGGAAGTGGACACCTAGAGTTGCCACCCTGTCTGGCTAGGCTTGCCCAAGTGGCCAGGTGGGGCATGGCCGCTAAACCCATCTCTGCTCTGGT